TTTTATAATCAAGCACAAATTCGAACACATTTAAAAATTGAAAAATGCTTTGGAAATGAAAATTTGCAATTTTATTAGTTGGAACACGTTTTCATACAATTGAAAAAACACTTCACATTATTGTAGCAATAATTATTTTATATAATAATATTATTTAATAAGAAATAATTTCAGAATAAATCTTCAAATATACAATAATGTCATTGCACAAATGTAAATAATACAAGATTATTTATTAATAATAAAAGAGATGCAATTTTAGAATATTTTAAGTAAAATGTTGATATGATCCAATTATAACATATATTTTATATTATGACTAAATATTTCAATAATTATTTTTTCAATAATTATTTTCAAGTTATTTTTTTTTTAACATAAAAACATGTATTTGGAAGCAGCATATATTGTAAATATTATCTTTGATATTATTTGAAATAATCGTCATACATCAATATTGAAATAATCAGATATATAATTAAATCGCAGAAAACAAATTATTTTGTATTTTTTTAATACTTTGTAATAAACAAATAATAAACATATCATTATCTTAATAATATTTCATTCTTCTTTTATGAATAACATTTTTCTTTTATGAAAAAACTATAAATAATATTCAGTAATACATAAATAATATTCAGTAATAAAACATAAAAATATTCAGTAATACATATAAAAATATTACGTATCATATTTTTAAATCATAAATTTATCAATTACATAATAATAATCTTCTAAAACAAAGTTTAAAAATTAAAATATAATATTGTATATTTATATTTATATACGTATACTGTTAGTACAAGTTGCATATATAACTTATTTTTGATTTTTGTATTTACGAAAAAAAAAAGTCATATTATTTTTTTTAAACTTTATTTTTTATTAATTTTTCTTTTTTTAATTGATATTTTTAATAAACCGATTTTTAATTTCTCTTTTTTTGTTTGACTAGTCATTTCTATGTCATAATTTTTTTTTTATATTTGTTTTCAAGACATCTACTAATGCAGTTTTCGCTTCATCTAATGTTTTATTTTCATGCTTTCTTTTTGTAGATTTCACATTTGTAGAATGATTGACTTATCTGCGATTTCAATTTTTTCCTATTCCAAGATTTCTAATCAACTTGTTTATTTTTCATTACATACTAAAAATTTAAAATAAATAGTAAACTTTCACAGACTTTCTATATTTTTTTGTAACTTACTGCAAATACTTGTGCCGAATCATCATCATTTTCTACTTTTAAAATTTCAATAATCAATATTTTCTTTTTGTTTAGTGATATTCTACATGACATGCAAATTTCAATGTCTTAATCTTCAATTTTTTCGCTGATGCTCCAACATTAATTATTAGAGTCGAAACAAATGCGCAGAATTTTGTAAGATTTTTAATGATTTACTGAAGAATTAAATTTTGTATTCTATTTATTTGTTGTAAAAAAATGTAATTATTTTGCGCACAAATTATTACGCCTGAATTCCATATGTTTTTTAATAATTTTGTTGAACTTCAAGAATTCTGTTTATGAAACTATACTATATTATGAAACTATATTATATTACTATATCAGGACCATATTGTGCCCCTCTTGCTATTATTAATCATGGTCATAATCGATCGATCAGGTTAATCAGAATTGTGAGATCAGCCTATATATAATATAATTTATTTTTTTCTTTTGTTGATCTAGATAAAAAGATACGGTGTAGTTAAGTTAATCATAACTGCTACCCGCTAAACAAAATTATGTTGAAATAATTATAACATTGCGTTCTTATAACATTGCGTTATAACCATGCAACATTTCGCATTTTGTCGCATAAATGTTTTGGTAATGTTCCAGAAATCGAGTAAGATTATTGTTTACATATGCGGCGTTACATTTGTAACGTTTCTGTGACGTTTGTAAAACTTACTTGCGATATTAGGAACGTTTAGCTTTAGTTCCAGAAATGTTTCTGTAATGTTCCAGGAACAAGAAATTATCTTCTTGATTTACATTTAATGTTATAATTTACAACAAATTATAACATTTTTGTAACGCGAATTTGGACACTTTAAACTTTTGTTTAAGGTAATTTTATAGATTCGTTTTCATGCTGATGCTTGACGCTCATTTTTAGCATTAAAACAGATCACGTGAACAAAATTGATACTTGATGCTCGTCAATTTTTATCATGTGACCTATTTTGACGCTAAAAATGAGTGTCAAGCGTCAGCATGAAAAGGTATCTTAAAACTTACTGTAAGGTTCTTGAGTACTTACTCCAGTCATATTGAATCGTGACATCATAAGCGAGAAATGTGTCATAAGCAATACATTAATTTTTCTTGCATGCCATTTATAAATAAAGAGAATGGATGAAATGGAATAATGAGATGGCTTTAAAACACTTATAAAAATGGACGAAAACTATCCTTATCTCCCTTGACAGTCAGTAAATAGTCGTAAAAAGCACATGCGTAGAGTGCGTTTATTAGTTTTTACTCAATGCGTATGCGTAGCCTTTTTACTTCACGAGCTTTTTTCGACTCTCAGGGGAGATAAAGAGAATCTTTATCCATTTTTACAAGTATTTTAAAGCTATCTCATCATTTCATCCAAATTCTCTTTACTTACAAATGCAAGAAAAATCAACATGTCATTTCTCGCTTACAACGATTCAATATAGCTGAAGTGACTAATCAAGAGCTAAAAAAAAATGTATATAAAAGGAAAGTTTTTCTCTAAGATAATGTAATTGTAAAATAATTTTCTACATTTCAAGGCAAACCTTCTTTATTTATAAGAAAATTTAATTGCCTTCAAAAAATCATTTCATTATAACAGGAATAAAAATTTCATAATGTACCTTTTATTCTATTCGTCGATGGATTTTAATAGGAAAATGCGACATCGCCACTTCCATCTAGTGGCGGGACTGCATACTGCTCTTGAACTGCGAAATGAATGTTTCAGAAGCATTGTATGTGTTGAGGTAATGTTGAGGTAATGTTTTTATAAGTTGCACAGAAAATATTTTACACAAAACATTATTTCCACAAAACGTTTCTTCTCCATGAAACGTTTTTTTTGTCATCTTCCAAATGATATATTTAAGGCGAAAATGCAACGTTTCTGACACATTCCATGCAATAACACAAATATAATAAAACGTTGCTTTTAAATTACAGGACCTTTTATGAATCTATACATATGAAACGTCACAAATTTGCTAAGTACAGCCAAAATGTAACTTTTCCTGAGGATTTCATGTTTAGCGGATAATATCTGTTTAATTCAGAGCATTGATACTGCAAGTGACATATGAAAAATATAAACAACATGTAAAATTTGTCGCTCAAATGTTAAATTCAACGTTCATTTTTTAATTTTTTTTTTATATATTGGGTTGTCTGGAAAGTTCGTGCCGATTTTGAAGGAAAATTGAAACGCAGAAGATTAAAATTTTTAATTTCATTAAATTTATTAAATTTAAATCTTTTGCAGCAACTTTCCGAATGACCCAATATAAAATTGTCGCTGAAACTACTTGTTTGAGTGGCACTTGTGAAAATGCATTTTTATTTTTTCTCTTTTGTGCGTGCCAGATGTTACTCATATAAAAGTCACTTTGAAACTGAATTATAAACACAGATATAAATGGTCGACTCTTCTTGACCATTTTATTTGAAATTTGAAGTATTATTTTGTTCAACCTAATACTTTAAATTCTTTAAATAGAAACTTTATTTTTCGACTTTGACTAGTTTTTCGATATTTGGGACCAATGTGCGTATATGTACGTGACTGCATGCGTACATGTTATCCAAGTTTTCACCTGCCCAACGTTTTATGGTGAACGGTCAAAGACCTCCTCTTCTCTCGCGGTAGCGTTCAAATCAATTGGTACGTCAATCGTACATTCGTCGTCGCGAAAGTCTCTTCAGCTTAAAGAAGCATTTTTGTAACGAAAATATAGTATGCATAAATATTCAAGATGCAGTTGTTCATAATTTACAAAAAAGGCAATATATTTTGAAACGATAATGAAAGAGAGGAGGAGAACAGGGAAGATAATATAACAGCGAAGTAAATATAACAGATAGAAAGCGTGCAGGAAGTCTTGAATTCTAATCAACTGTTGCATGATTCGAGCAAAATTGAGAAATGCCTCAAAAATGATAAATGAACATAAAAGTCCAATTGAACGAATAATATTAATTTTCAATTATTTCTGCACACTTATATTGCAAAATATTGATCAGATGCATAAAGTCGAATAATTTAAATTCAATAAATTCAAAACTCGAATAATTAGAAGAAGAATCTTTTTTCAAATATAAAAAATATTTAAAGAAAATTTTTCTGAAAAGGAAGAAAAAAGGAAAAAGAAAATAATATTATGTTTTGAAAGATATAGATCTTACTTATTTTTGAAAAAGAAAAAATGTCTTATCATATAAATTTGATTTGCAAAATGATATTCACGTCGATATCCACATAGTATACTTTATCCAAGAAACATCATGGGAATGTCCTTAGAATTTTCAGAGAACATAGGATTGAACATCCTCTGAATATTTTTAGGATCCAAAGATCTGTCCTATACGAGATATAATCATATAATATCATTATTTTAAAAGATTAGCTATCGAGAATAGCTCATATTAGGATTACTATTCCTAATAGCACACTTTATCTGGGATATATCCTGGAAATATCCTTAGGATGTTCGAAGAACATACAGCGTTCTCTGGATGTTCCCTAGAAGTCTGTGCTATTAGAAATACTATGTTTTGCATCTTTTCTTTTAACTTTGCACCTTTTTCCGAAAATTAAATTGATACGAAATTTGTCTCCCTTTCAACGCACGGTCCTGACAGGTGGAAATCATGTGGCCGCTGCGACAATCACGAGAACGGTCGAGCGAAGTTCTATTGCGGGTCAACATGGGGAAGGGAGAGCGATCAGCGCCACCTCGTTCCTTGATAGCAATGACTGTGGTGGTGGTCTCATTGCGCGCGACTGCTCCATTCACCGGATGGTCCGGATTCACCCGTTGGCCGTTGTAGCGATCTGATGAGTCTCGTGACTTTCCGTGTTCGTAGTGCCCGCACTCGCGTCCACGCGCAGTTGCGCTTCTTCGGCAACGTGATCAAGAAGTAGATACATACACACACACACACACACACACACACACACATACGTATATATATATATATATATATATATGGCGCAGGATTCAGGGATCCAGTGATACGTGATCTAGCGGTCAATTCGTTGGTGCGTGGTAATCTGTCGGGAAATGTGTCGCCGTTGTCCGACCGGCTATTGAAAAGTGCAAGCCGCTCCCGTTCGAGCCGCTTCGATTCTTGTTACGTGAAAAGGATCTATGCTCCACAATCCACGGATAAAATGACGGTTGCTGGAAAGGTAAACTTGTTGAATCTGACTATTGATCGCGAATCGTTGCGAGACTTTCGCGCTTCTGGACACCGTGTCAAGACCATTTAAATCGTTGGATATCATGAAATATGTATTTAAATGAACTTTTGATTGTTAAATGAACTTTGATTCGAGGCTTTTCTTTTAAAGAAAAAGCTTCTTCATTCAAAAAACTGTCATTGTTTTCAAAATTACGTGTTATAAGTTTCGAGTTTCAGCTCCTTAGTACTTGTTGCTTGATATCGCTTATTCATACTACGATTACAGTTTATTTAAAATATTTGAAATCGCGCCACATTTTTTAAAATTGCAAACTTCGAAACAGATTTCCATGAGAATGTCCTCCTTTTTTACTGCATGGTAATGTATCGTATATACAAATAATCGATAGTAGAATTATTCAATTATTATCACAAGTCGCAAAGATGAAAAATATGATGATATAGAAGTATTATAGTTTCGTTCGCGCTTTGTAAAGCTCTATGTTACCTCTTAATCTTTTCTCTATACGTACAAGAGGATCTACAATTTACTATCTCGGATATAACGTCGAATTTTGACACGGCGCACAAACGTTATCGCCCTTCTCGTGGCGTGATGTTACACGCCATAACGGACAGACGTTAAAGACTATAATTATTCTCATGATTAGCTGTCATCCGGTTTACATTTAATAGGTTCACTCGGCCGCTAATTGGTCGCCCGATATTGCTGATAAATTAAGCGACAAGAAAAGTGATAGATAAGCAAACTTCTAATTTTTTCCATGAAAGTCGCGCCATTCCTCATATAATTACATAGTGTACATATGGCAATAATGATGGAGCCAATGTTTCGAGATTATTTGGAATCACGTGATAATATATAAATTTGTATTTGAGGTGTTTATTCAAAATGATTTTCAACAAATCTTTTTAATTGTCGTTCTCTAGTCAATTCATATTAATTTGTTTCAAAACGAAAATATAAATAATAAGAAAAAAAATATAAATAATAAGAAATTTCTAGCAAAGTTTAGAAAGGAAGCTAATGAAATTCTTTAGTTTTATTCTTTAACAATTTTCGTGTAAAATTTTAATGCTAATTTAAAATTTAAATGTAATTGTAAACGGTTTAATTATATTTAAATTATAATTTTAATTAAATTAAATTATAATAAATTTAATTAGAATTAAATATAATTTTATTTTATTTAATTATAATTA